CAAGCGGTGCAGCCTGTGGTCAACAATGTTGCTTATTCCTTTGAAATCACAGCAAAAGATATACAAAGTCTCGATGAAGTTGCTGATCTACTTAGGAATGAATCGGTCAAGCATTTTGCTGAGTTAGAACAGGGTTTAGTTGTTCGTTGTCATCTAGTTAAGGTGGGCTCTGACGATGACACGACCAAATTATATCCTCAAGATTTGATTATTTTCATATTTCATGGTGTAGCATTCGATTATAATTCTATTAGCCCATTCCTTATTGCCTTTACAAAAGCATATGATCAGATGGAATTGGAAGTTGAAAGGTTACAATATATCAGTTTCAGTCTATATGAGCATCAACAATTCGTTAATATCCCCGAAGACTCTCAAATACGAAGAGCTCAGCAGTTTTGGTCAAAAATGATGGATGACTACAGCCTTGATACAAACTATCCAACACCATTTACGCGTCCATTCGACACAAAAAAGCGTTCTGGAGAAGGGCATAGTATATCATTTATACTGAACTCGATACTTGTCGAAGCTCAGATGAAATTTGCATCTCTGCATAATTTGTCTATGTTTCATACAGCATTAGCGTGCTTCTTTCTATTTATATATGAACTCAATGATGGTACTATTAGTGACTTGTGTGTAACCTGTCCTACAAATAATCGATCATCCGTTGATACAAAATGCATGATTGGCACGTTTGCGAATTCATTACCATATCGCATCAAAATTAATGCAAATGACAGTTTTATTAACTTAGTGCAGCAAATTTGCCAACTGGACATAGACATTTTTAATCACTGTCAACTACCTTATCAACAGATCATCAGGGATAATAAGCAGTTATGTTCAAGCAAGATTCCATTTCATTTTCAATATGGAGAGATTCACTTGTCTTCAACTAGCGAAATGAAATCGATAGTCAAGACAAATGATGCAAAATTAAGTTTATATACTGAACAACCTTGGCTACATGACAATGGTATTGCTTCTCATGATATGAATTTAAAAATGGTTCATAATCAGTCCAGCCAAACGACTTATTGTATTTTGGAATGTAGCGCTGATTGTTATGATGAAGTCACGGTGTCCAACATTGGTCGATATTTTCAAAATCTACTTTTACATATCTTCACTGAAAATACAAAAACCATTGGATTCGACCCAGTTTTTGAAAAAATTGGCAATCTTTCTCTTTTACCAATGAACGTTGAAACTTTGTCAAGCGTTATCGAGTCACTACGACATTTCTCCGAAATAAGTAAGTGCTTCGAAGAAAGCTTGTTTCTAACTCCTCTTTACATATCTGCATGAATTGAAACTCTTACATAATGAGTAACTTGTAGAAATAGTTTAAACCCCTTAGAGCATAAAAATGTATAACGTCGGCTATTTGCGAGAGATTCGAGTATTTAACTGTGAAAATAAACCTTATAAATGTGTAAGAATAATATGTGACTATCATAGAACCAGCTTCACATGCTCAACACCAAATATGGCACGATGAAGAACGTCGATTGCATTTGGATGGACCGCAATTGGCAATATACAATATGGTATTCTGTTATCGTCTTTCAGCTGATCATACCTTATCTGTTCAGCAGCTTCGTCACGCACTCCATCTTGTTGTAGAGAAACATCAGTCTCTGAGAACGGCACTTATTGTTGATACTACAAAAAACATTCTTACGCAACAAATAGTTCACCAACAGAATCTCGAAATCAATCGATTTTCTATAGTCGAAAGCATTTATGAAACAGATGAACAATTGGATGAAATTATGCACAATGAGACATACAACCCTCGTGTTTTCAATCTTGCTCAAGGTCTTGTCTTCCGATGCCATCTTGTTCGTTATAAACAGATTCCTACTAATGATCTTATCTCCGATAACGATGTCATCATTTTCAATTTTCATCATGCCTCGTTCGACTATTCATCGATGAAGATATTTCTCCATGATCTTCATCAAGCATACACCACAAATGAGCTATCCAACGATGGCAGCATCAATAGATTTCGCTATCTCAATTGTAAATATTCATACTTCTCTCTTTATAATCATATCGTGTCTTTCTCTCTTCTTTAGATGCTGTCATTGAACAACACATGCCTATGATTGGTGCAAGCATGTTCTGGCATGATGCTCTGCATGATTACAAACTAGATCAGTCTCTCTCATTGCCATATGATCGATATCGACCTACGAATGAATATCGATCAGGTTTTGGAACATCTATTTCATTCGATTTAGATCGAGATCTTTGTGACATTTTTCTTAACTACACATCTTCGCAGAACATCTCACTTGAGCATCTGGCGTTGTCTATGTATTTTGTCTTTCTGTTTAAACTGACGAATGGAGAAACAGACCTATGCATTGGAATGAACGTAAATGGCCGATACAGAGATGAACTTAGATCAGTGATTGGTATGTTTGTCAATGCTATACTCTTGCGATGTCAACTAGACCCACAATGGCTTCTACATGAACTTATTAAACATGTTCAAGAGATATTAACAAACAGTCGCAAATACTCTTATTTCCCTCTTCAACGTGTTCTAGATCGACATCCACATGCTTCGAAACCTGCATTTCTTGATACATCATTCGAGTTTATGCAATATTCACGGCAAGATCTCAGCGGAGACGTGATTGTAGGTGACAGTCATCTCTCTTTGATTCCTATTCATATCAAGATTAGTGACGATGATATCATGAACAAGTTTGACTTCATTCTTAGTATTCAACATGATTTCGATATGAATCAACTCTCTTGTACAATCAATGCATCACTTGACTTGTTCAATGTAGAAACCATTCACAAGATTGGACAACGATTTCATTCAATGTGCAGACAATTGTTAGCATCTATTCATAATCAAACAACTCAATCCATCTATGAATTATCATTCATCATGCCAGACGAAAGGTTACTCATGCAATCAATGAATAATACACAAGCCTCATTTCCTTCGATCACTTGTATTCATCATGAGTTTGTTAATCAAGCAATCAAACATCCACAAAAACTAGCTGTTGAACTAGATGAACAATCATTGACATATTGTGAACTTCTATGTTATGTTCAGATACTATCCTTAACTCTTGTCAATGAATATCATGTTACTCCAGGTGAAATAGTTTGTCAATGTGTTGAGAGAAGTTTGTCAATGGTAAGTTAATTAAGACAAGTAACTATTGATGTAAATATGAGATTGATTTGACTAGGTGATTGGTATTATGGCAATTGAGGTGGTTGGTGGTGTTTATTGTCCATTGTCACCTCGAGATCCGCAACATCGTTTGTATGCACTTATACAACAAACACGAAGTCGTCTTGTTCTTGTTCATTGGTTAACAAAAATGAAATTTAATAATGATATTCTTTTGATTGACATTCGACCAATGTTGTTGAATAATGAGGCAAAGAGTGATGTTAATGTTGATTGGCTATCAAGTATTACAGTCACACCTAATAATATTGCTTATATTATTTTCACAAGTGGTTCAACTGGAATACCAAAAGCGGTATGTTGATATTTGAATTTCTGCATCAATTTTTATTGCTCAATATTTTGACAGATTCAGGCGCGTCATGAAAATCTCATTCATTGCATGAACTCATTAGTGAGGATCAACGTATTGAACAAAGATGATAATGTCGTTCAGATCGCACGATGTTCATTTGATATTCATGTTCAAGAAATATTTGGAGCTTTAATGCAGGGAGCTACATTGGTTATGCTTCATCCAAGGGGAACAATCGATTTTGACTATCTCTCCAATATCGTGCAAATGAAACAAATTACATATATACTCATGGTTCCAAGTCTACTTCGAAGCTTTTTCACACTTGCCGCACAGTCTGACAAGACGGCTGTTTCAAAATATTTTCGATCACTATGTACTGGCGGTGAGTAGTTTAGAAATGAGCTTTAGCATGTTGTTCTGTTTCATCTCTCTTTGTAGGCGAATCAGTCTCTGTGCAGTTAAGCACTCTAATCGCAAATAACAGTGTGTCAGAGTATAATGTATGGAATTACTACGGTCCTGCGGAGATAACAATCTCTTGTACACTTCATCTTATTGATATTAAAGCTAATCCTAAAAGCATTCCAATTGGTAGATCACTTCCTAAC